TACATAAATGAGAAAAGGAAAGTAAAATAAGGATTAGTTAGCTTAAAAACAAAAGAAGGAAGATATGTAGAAGAGGATAAAGGTCTAGCTGACTGCCTCAATTAATATTTTTGTTCAGTATTTACAGATGAAAATGAAGGAAAGGGGCCTCAGTTAGGAAAAAGGACAAATTAGTCATTTGTTACATGTGAGTTTACAGAGGAAGAGGTTCTATTTCAACTGTCAAAAGTAAAGACAAATAAGTCAAATGGACCTGATGGAATACACCCAAAGTTATTAAAAGAGCTTAGTGGTGTACTAGCAAAACCATTAACAGATTTATTTAATCAATCATTGTTAACAGGAGTAGTCCCAGAAGATTGGACGTTAGTGAATGTTGTGCCCATTCACAAGAAAGGTAGTAGGGAGGAGTCGGGTAACTATAAGCCAGTAAGCCTTACTTCAGTAGTGGGGAAAGTAATGGAAACCATGTTAAAGGATAGGATTGTTGAACATCTAAAAACGCATGGATTTCAAGATCAGAGACAATATGGATTTACTTCAGGGAGATCACGCCAAACTAATGTTATTGATTTTTTTTGATTGGGTAACTAAAATAATAGATCAGGGTGGTGCAGTAGACATTGCTTACCTAGGTTTCAGTAAGGCTTTTGATACTGTTGCACATAGAAGGCTTATCAATTGGGCAGACTAGATGGGTCGAATGGTTCTTATCTGCCATCACATTCTATGTTTCTATGTTTCTATGTTATCAATAAACTGCAATCTGTAAGTCTGGATTCCAATATTGTTGAATTGGTAAGGCAGTGGCTGAATGACAGGCAACAGAGGGTTGTAGTCAATGGAGTATATTCAAGCATGGGCTTGTCACCAGTGGGGTACCTCAGGGATCTGTACTTGGACCCATTCTCTTTAACGTTTCTATTAGTGATATTGCAGAAGGTATTGATGGTAAGGGATGTCTTTTTGCTGATAATACTAACATATGTAACAGGGTTGATGTTCCAGGAGGGATAAGCCAAATGATTTAGGTAAACTAGAAAAATGGTTAGAGTTGTGGCAACTGACATTTAATGTGGATAAGTGCAAGATAATGCATCTTGGAAGTAAAAACCCAAGGGCAGAGTATAGAATATTTGATAGAGTCCTAACCTCAACATCTGGGGAAAGGGATTTAGGGGTGATTATTTCTGATGACTTAAAGATAGGCAGACAATGTAATAGGGCAGCAGGAAATGCTAGCAGAATGCTTGTTGTATAGGGAGATGTATTAGCAGTAGAAAGAGGAAAGTGCTCATGCCATTGTACAGAACACTGGTGAGACCTCACTTGGAGTATTGTACGCAGTACTGGAGACCGTATCTCCAGAAGAATATTGATACTTAGAGTTCAGAGAAGGGCTACTAAACTGGTTCATGGATTGCAGGATAAAACTTACCAGGAAAGGTTAAAGGAACTTAACATGTATAGCTTGGAGGAAAGACTAGACAGGGGGATATGATAGAAACATTTAAATACATAAAGGGAATCAACACAGTAAAGGAGGAAACAATATTTTAAAGCAGAAAAACTACCGCAACAAGACGACATAGTCTTAAATTAGAGGGGCAAAGGTTTAAAAATAATATCCGGAAGTATTACTTTACTGAGAGGGTAGTGGATGCATGGAATAACCTTCCAGCTGAAGTGGTAGAGGTTAACACAGTAAAGGAGTTTAAGCATGCATGGGATATGCATAAGGCTATCCTAACTATAAGATAAGGCCAGGGATTAATGAAAGTATTTAGAAAATTGGGCAGACTAGATGGGCCGAATGGTTCTTACCTGCCGTCACATTCTATGTTTCTAAGTGCTTTTCAGAGTATGGAAAACCCCTTTAATTTTGCATAGTTTAATTTAATTTAGTTCATGTGTGATTACATGTCGCCTATTCTTTCTTGTTCATACATGTTCCCTTAAGTGAAGCACAAGAGCAGCTATATCTACCTATTTTTGCATGACGAGTATTATTTGTCTTTTTTCAAGGATTTAGTTTTAAAAGACGTGCAGCTTCAAATTTCTCATGCAGACATTTCAGCTTTTGAATAAAGCCAAAAATACTCAGGTTTCTTCAAATATCATGCAGTACATGTAGTAGTTTATAGGTTCATGCCAGACACAGGGCCGGATTAACAAAGGGGATGATGGAGCTGCAGCTCCAGGCCCAGGCCCAGGCCCAGGCCCATGGAATAGGCCCATTGATTTTGATAAAAATGTGTTTTTTTACTTTTTTTTTACACATTACTCTTAGGGTTGCCACCTGGCTGGTATTTTATGGTATTTGAGGCTGCCTGGCCAGTTCCAGTATTACAGTAAAACCGTCAATACAAATGCCGGCATATTTCTATGTATAAACAGAGATTACTCTGCAATACCTGCGCTGGCCAGTAGGGGTCACTGTGTGTGGAGAGAGGCAGGGAGTTACAGCATATCCCTGCCTCTCTCTACTCACTGATCCATGGGGGAGCAGCTACACAGCACAGAAAGTTCAGACAGCAGCTCCCAGCCTGCAGAGACAGCCTACAGCTCAGGGAAGTGAGGGATGGGGTAAAAGCTGCAGGGAGGCATGGGGACACTTGGAGACACTAGGGGACACTGGGTGACCTGGGGACACTGAGACACCTGGGGACACTGAGACACTAGGGGACACTGTAAGACACTAGGGGACACTGTGAGACACTAAGCACTTGGAGACACTGGGAGACATGGGGACACTGAGACACTGCGTCCCTAGTGTCTGTGTCCCCAAGTCTCTGTGTCTCCATATCTCCTAGTCAGTGTCCCTAGTGTCTCAGTGTCCGCATGTCTACCAGTGTCCCTATGTCTCAGTGTCTCCCAGTGTCCCTTAGTGTCCCAATGTCTCACAGTGTTCCCATGTCTCTTAAGTGTCCCCTAGTGTCCAAGTGACACTGGGCAACATGGGGACACGAGGGGACACTGGGAGACATGGGGCACTGAGACACATGGGGCACTGTGACTTTGTGATACATAGGGACACTGTGATACATAGAAGACACTGAGACATGTGGACACTGGGACACATGGGGCACTGAAACACTGTGATACATAGGGGACACAGACACTAGAGGATACTGGGAGACATGAGGACACTGGAAGACTAGGAGACTAGGGGACACTAAGACACTGGGAGACAGGGAGACACTGGGAACAATCCATCTTTTATTCAGAAGAATAAATGTAAGTACTTTTTAGTGATTTTACAGAATTATCTCTCAGGTCACTCCTTGTGATTTACAAGCATACATAATTAATTATGCAAATTAGTAAGGCTGGCATTTTTTTCCAAGAAAGGTGGCAACACTAACTATCCTTCACATACTCTTGCTTAAGTATGGAAACTTTAGAGGGATGTATGGGAACAAAACTTGTGTGGACTGACTGACCATGAAATTAGTTAAGGTAAAGCTGACTTTGTGCACAATGCAAATGATCTTGCTGCTTCAGTCTCTCTAACACTATGGCATGTTTATGTTCTTCTACACTCACTTCATACAGCTTTTCTCTGTCCCAGATTGTATATCAGGAGCTTCTGCCTGCTAGTAAGGAGGTTAGGAGAGGAATGGACCAGCGAGTGCTGGGGACAGTCCTTAGAAAGTATGGAGCGAACTCATCATTAGACGCATTTATGCCACGCTCAGGGTGCTGTCTGCATAGTATGCCCTTAGTCGGCCAGCTTGCGTGATTGGCAGGCAGCCTGACATGCATTCATGCCAGGTTGGCCTTCCAATTCTTTAGGCAGACACGCCCCCTTTTTAAGGCATGTTCGCCTCTTTCGGTACTGATTACATAATTTGTGTCAGTGGCCTACCCTTTTACCCCACCCATTGACTGCCTGCTTCACTGGACACTGCTGTTAGGGGTATGGATTTACTTGAAAAATGAAAGCATAAATTAGAGAGAGATTAGCATAGAGTGTTTGTTTTCTCATAGCTGCATCCTATGAGTTTCCCTTCAGCACCATTTCTGCCAGATACATGACGATTGGTAGGTATGACTGTTTTCGTGTTTTTGGTCGATAAGATTCTGTAATTAGGCCCATCATAATTTTCAGCACCAGGCCCACTGGGCTCTTAATCTGGCCCTGGCCAGACACATATGAATTCCACCATCAAAAGTCCCATAGTTCAGTTTGGCATTACACCTGACAGCCGTGAACTCCTGCATGCATTCATTCTGAGACTCAGGGTTTATTACAAAGCCTACAGAACCCCTCAACAGAATTATTTGGCCATAATCCATCATTCACCATTTTGCATTCTCTCTATCTTTGATTGGTGGCATGGTCCTTGCTCCCACCCATAATGACAGTGGAAGTGACCCTCCTCCCACCTTCTGAGTTAGACCTGGCAACAATCCTGCTCTGCTTGCCAGGTCTCCTCCGTGTGGTGCAGTGAGTAAGGGGAAGAGGCAGGGCCAGAGATGGGAAATTAAGTCACTTCCTGTACTCTCCTGTCGTGCGGAGTGCTGGCAAAGGGAAGATTAATAGCTGCCTGGCAAAGACACCATGTATGCTCCTCTCTGCACAGCCCCCCCTTACACCATCACAGACTCCCTCTCTACCTGCACAGCCCCCCTCCCTGTGTACTCACAGACCCACTCTTTCCCCTGCACTCTGACAGTTCTCCTCCCTCCCTGCACAGCCCCCCTCCCCTGAACCCTGACAGTCCCCCTCCCTCCTGGCACAGCCACCCTTCCCCTGCACCCTGACAGTCCCCCTCCCTTCCAGCACAGTCCCTGTTTCCTGCACCCTGACAAGCTATTAACATCTGCTGATGTGACTCTAGATTTTTCCCTTGTCACGTGTCTCAGTTTATATTCATTCAAAACTTTCCACTTCAACACATTCTGTCTGTGACAATTGTTATTGGCAGAGATTATTTTCGGTAATATTTGGGCTTTATCTCACAAGATCAGTACTTTAGAAAAGAAAAAGAACGTCACAACTTTTCATAAAAAAGTATTTATAATAATGTATATGTCACATACAAAATGTACACAATGTAAATAAATGAAATAAACAAGATAATAACAGGTAGTATGAAAGCAATAATTTGCCCTATCATGCTGTCGGTTAATCCAAAACATTTCGGATACGGTCTTAATCGTAGCATTATTGCAGGGGTATCATAAGGGTCTAGGGCAGACATAGGCAACCTTTTGCACTGCAGATGTATTGGACTACACCTCCCATGATGCTTTGCCAGCATTATGGGTGTAAAAGCATTATGGGGGATGTAGTTCACAACACCTGCAGTGCCGAAGGTTCCCTATCCCTGGTCTAGGATCTACAAGTCTGATGGTCAACTGTTGGCTCAAAGTTCTCGAAGACTTCTAGATTGTGGAACTTTGGAAAACAAGTATTCCAAACAGAGAAACTAAGACTGGTGTTAAAACAATTAGACAGTTTCCATGTACTAAGGATGTTTTAACACTTGGCAAGGGTGGCACATTTGTGATCCACTAGGCCTCTCCCAATGCACTACCATAATGTCTTTAATAAGGAACTATCACCCCAAAATGAAGAAATATATATTTTTATTGCATTTAATAAAATATACTAACTGACCTAGTGCAAATATTAAACATTAACATTATATATTTGAAAGCTATAAAGACTTAGTCTCCTTCTGATGACATCATTTGAAAAACAAATGTTGTCACAAGTGGCGCAGGTGGGAGCTATCTTCAACTTACTATACAATTTAGCGAAACATGTACATAGCAATAGATAAATTCCCCAATGTGTTCATACATCTCTCCCCATGAAGAGTCTAATTACCCCAGTACAGGTACACATGTTAAAAAACAAAAAGGTACAAAAATGAGGATTCTACAATGCTTCTTACTCATGATAAACTGCACTGGTACCTATAAAAACAGCTGTAAATTAGAGTTTAATGGAAATTGTGGTGATAAATATAAATTTCTTCTGAAGCATCCTGTGTGTGTACACTGAGACATAATAAACCATAACACTATAGGTTGAGTTGTTTATGAATGTCTCTATATGTAAAGGCGTTTGTTTTCTTTTACCACGTTTCACTGTTATGTATCTTATTTTATTTGATTATATTATTAAATGGTTCCTTTAATCTTGGGCAGCATCTGTCTGGCTGGTGGGAGTTACCCTGACAGCCAGCAGTTGCCTCCATTAATTCGGCTCCTCTCAAAGCAGCTGGGGAGACAGATTTATGTTGTTTGTGTTTGCTCAACTCCTTTGCCGGCATATAAATATCCAGAGGGGCTTAAATAAAATGATAGCAACTACAAATTGCAGCATGCTTCCTAAGACTGAAACTCAACCTCTTTTCCACAGACAGGGACAATCATGTTCCAGTGCTTCCCTAAGATTAGGGTTTCTAAACCGCACGGCAACTGCCAAACTGTGCATTATGGAAAATAATGCACAGGGGACTTCCTCCACAGCCAAGCACTGAGTTTAAAAACATGATCTGCCTGCTGGAATAATAAATACATATAATTTATATATGCTTCAGTATTACGAAGCAGCTTGTAACAGATCATTCCAAGTGAGCGTGTTGTTTGTACTCCTCATGAAATATTAAAAACAAACCTTTTTTTTGATCTGACAATATTAGCGAACAACAAAACATTTTATCCACTAATGACTGTTACAACTTTAGTGATATTAAAACTATATATTGTTCTCTTGTATGAATTGCTGTCCAAGTAAAAAAAGTGCTTATGTTGCACAGCTATTGAAATAAAAGTATGCAAATACATGTTTTAATTTATGGAGTTAAAGGCTCTTTGAGCTGCCCATCATTTGAGCTAATGGATCTTCACTGATGATATTTAAAAATATGAAATATTCTGGTTCAGAAAGATGCACTACTTTATCACATTGAACTGATGTACAGCTAACTAGCCACATTGTGGATATAGTAAGTATTTGGCTCTGTGTTACAGACAGTGGTGTATTTTGGATTTGTGCTGCCCTAGGCACAACTAAATGAGGGCACTCCCAAAATCTAAATTTGCCCGCCCAATTCATGTCAAGGCCACTTTTTTGACTGACAGACACATGCCCTCATTGATACATGCACTGATATACACTCACTGAGAGATACAGTCATTGGCACACACTGTTTAACCAACACACACTTTCACTGACAGACACACACTGACACACCCACTCACTGACAGGCACACACTCTCAGATACACATAAAAGGACATACACACACTGACATATACTCACAGGCACACCCATTCTCACTGAAAGTCACACACACTTTCCCTCACTCGCAGACACACACTGACAGCTACACACACTCACTCACTCACTCACTCACAATAAGGTGTACAGCCCCAGAACACGAGGCAAACAAGGCATTTGTCTGGGAGCTTGGGGTGGCATTTTTTTGGCGCCCCCCCTCCCCCGAATGTGCCGCGATAGGCAAATGCCTTGTTTGCCTTGTGGTAAATACATCCCTGGTTACAGTACTGAAATTAAAACTAAACAATGACTGTTAGTGTAATTTGTGTTACAAAAACAAATGTGTAGGCCCTCTCAGTTAAATGACCAAAAGTGGTCAGTCAGTCAACTGGTTTTGGGCAGCAGTATGCTGTTATACAGTTCATCACGAGACATAAAACAAATAGTACAGAGGTAAATAGAAATAGAATGCTGAAGCACAGAACTTAAATAACAAAACATGCCTTTATCTGATTATATAAAATTGTCTGTATTGTTTATGACGTTAGTGATGGTAAAACTATACACTGTTTTTGTTCTATGAAATTTTGTTCATTGTAAAAAAAGTGCTTTTTGTTGTTAAATTATGGCTATCCAACTGTACCCCAACATATATAACAACAGCTTTTGAAATAAATGTATACAAACAAATATGTTAATTTATGGAGTTAAAGGTGTTGTTGGCTCTTCAAACTGTCCATCATTTGAGCTAAATGGATCTTCAGTGATGACATCTAAAAATATGAAACAAAAAACATAGTTACTAATCATGTTACAATATAAATTAACTACATTAAAGTGACACTAAAGTCACTAGAACCATTACAGCTGAATGTAGTGGTTCTGGTGTTAATAGCATGCCCATGCTGGCTCAGTAATGTAAATGCTGCCTTTACAGAGAAAAGGCAGCATTTACATTGTTGCCTAGTAACTGTCAGGATTACTGTTTGATCCAGCACGTAGAACTGTATAGCACGGATGACAAATAAGTAACGTATTACCGGTCCTTAGAATGGCCGGATTTAACGTACATAGAATAGTCAAAAATACTAGCCAAGGTCAGGGAACACAGAAAGGGACACAGCGATGAGGAAAGCCAGGAGTCAGGATACCAGAACATAGAGAAGTCAATAAACAAAGCCAAAGTCAAAAACCAGGTAGAAAACTATAAACAGGAACGCGCTCTCGGACAACCACAAGGGAAACCATGACAGGGCACTGAGCAGGATGAGAACTGGGTCTAAATACCCCTCCTCTAGGTCTGATAGGCTGTAACCGGCCTTTGACCCCAAAGTCAGTTACCAGGTTTCATTTGCATAATTACTGCTTAGCATTAACCCTTCTGTGGATTAGGTTGCTGCTCGGCACAACTTTTCCTGTGTGGACGGTAAACGTCATTAACCACATTTTTAGAAGCGGATGAATACGTGACAGTAACACCTCTAGTGGCAGTCACTCAGACAGCCACTAGAGGTACTTCCTGGTAAGGTCCTTCAGTCTATGCAGGACTCACGTTCAAAATCTCCATGCTCTGCATGGAGACATTGAACGCACCTGATAGAGATCACTATATATAGGGTGAGATAGAGGCAAAAAATATGCCTACAAAATTCAAAGTATGACAAAAAAAGAAATTAGACCTGTGCTGCAGAAACTCCACACTGTAGTCCCAACAGTGTTTTTACAACACACAATAAACAAACAAGAGCCCTGCACATCCAGTATAAGTATGCACACCCAGGTGCTACCACAGTTTATTTGAGGACAAAATTCAAACAGCAAATGTTTCGGGCAGCAGCCCTTTCTCAATGCTAATGGACATTGATGCACTGAGTGTCTTTTAAAGGGGGTTCTTTGGAACCTGGGACATAGAGAAGCATCTCCAGAACATAGGTCTTTATTTTATAAGCTTCCAAATGAGTCCATACTGTTCGAAAGCCTTAATTTGTCTATAAAAGTCATCATTAGTATCTACGGAACTTTTGTAGATAAACCATTTTGAAATGTTCTTATCATTCATTTGGAAATCTTATTAAATCAAGGCCATATTTCTTTATTTTGGGTCTGTTCCCGCTACAGGTTGCTTATTGCAGTCATTGTCTATTGATAAAAATGCTTGCCTTTGTTAGAGGCTTTGATTATTGCCTTATATAAGACTTACCTAGAGAAAATACACTGAGTCTGCGATCAGCGCTGCTTCCCATTCGGATCAGAGGGTTGGACATTTTGGAAAGGAACATTTTAACTTTCTCTTTTTTTGCAGGTGCTCTACAGTACAAGTTGAGAATGTTCCCATTCACTTGGCATGTTTTCTTGCTGAGGCCCAGTAGGTGAAAAATATCTATAAAAACATCTACTTTGAATGCATATAAAAAACTCAAGTTGTCATCCACCAGTTCGAACCGTTCTTTTAGGAGATAGTCTTGAACAACTTTTTGGAATTCAAACTGGGGGGGGGGAAAAGATCACAAAAATTAGAGTTACTTATATATTTTTATTTTGACTTTAAACAACAATGTTCTTCAAAAAAATGTACTTAATGTTCTGAGACACCTCCATTAAATCTAGCTCAGTATGACTCAGTCCTTTCCAAAACATCCCCTTATCGACATCCAACTGAAGACTTGACCTACCTCCATTGAAAACCTACATTGTACTATTTTATTTAATAGTATGTGTTCATCATCCTGCCATGCTACCAAGTTTCTGTATCTGAACTTTTTTGGATTTAGGTTTTATTTTTTATTTTTTTTTCAATATTTATTTGTTTTGGGGGTTTTTAAAAAAAAATTGCATATACAGACAAAACAATTTAGGCATTAAACTCGTATTAATTTTACAATATGGAAAATCTTTATAATTTCTTTAACAAAGACATTCTTATTCACTATTTACGAATAGCCTAAAAGGACAAAAGACAAATCTTTCAAAATACATTGCAGACCAAGAGTTTCTCAAAAAGGTTCTATTAAATATATGTAAAATTTCTATTCTTTTGCAAGAAGTATAACCTCTCAATTAACATAATACTATATATTTCCTAATCATCGATCATAATAATTTTGTTTTGTTTTTTTAGATTGTTGGGGACTAAAGTTTGGCAGATCCCTTTCCATACGGAATTGGATTTTTAACTGGTATAGATAGTGCTTTTTTTGAAAGGGGATACTAGATTTCCAATTTCTGGCAATCATTATTTTTGCCGCAACAAAGCAATGAATTGCCAAACATCTGTTTTCTTTTGAAAATACGTTCAAATTAATATGCAATAACATGTTCTGGATATCTTTATCTTGGATAGGGCCTCAAATTGATCAAATACCAATTTCCATAATTATTTAACAATTGGAAACCACCAGATATGTACGGACATGCCTACAGGATTTCCAAATCTCTAACAATTTGGGACATAATTTGCGTACATTTCCGGTAATCTAACAGGGACTAAAAATACCATTTATTCATAATCTTAAATTGACATTCGATCAGACCGAGACAATGTATATTTTTATATAATAATCGTAATGCATTGCCCCATTCATGTTCAGAGATCTGTAATCCTATTCCAGGTATTTAATATTTTTAATAGCCAGCATGATTCAATAGATCACCATTCTTTTAAGGTCTTATTAGTATATTGAAACAATTTTAAAACTGGAGAAAAATATACGGAGAGACTTGTCTTGTTTTTGTTCCTTTTTATCTCTTTTTGAGGTAGTTTTAAGGTCCTCAGTTTTTTCACACTTTGCCATTGGTTTATAAATTGTTATATTAAATATTGTTATTACTTTTCTGATTCTTTACAAACTCTATTTGGGACTCAATTCAAATATGAGAGAGGAAACTTTAAGCGAAAAAAAAACCAAAGAAAAAAAAAACCTATATAGGCTGATTTAGATATAACTCCCAACACTAAACTCTCAGGTTTAGTATAACTCTGCCCTTTCATTTATCTTATTTTTTCCTTTCCTTCTCTCTTCCCTCTAGCCTTTTTCCTTTTAATTTTCGACTTCCTTTTCTTTTCTTTCCCTTTCTTACTTTCTCCAAAAGTCACTCTGTTAAGCCATTAAGCCAACAAGCACTGTAACTGATTAACGTTTGTATTTTTTTGTTGTTTTTTTCTCCTTTCTTCTCCCTTCTTCTTTTCTTTTCTTTTCCTTTCCCACAATTGATTCAAATTGAGCAACACACCAATAAGCTTTATCAAGATATTACCGTTTTTCAGGTTAAACACCAGGAAACAATTTTTTGGAGGATAGCCTCATAACTATTTAGCAGAATTGAAACGTCCGCGATTTCTTCACCTTCACCCGCAATTCAGCTCATATTTCTTCATATCTCCATGGCGCCTTTATGTTGTGATTTCATTTGACCGCTTTACTTTTGCCACTAGTCTCTGTGTCCACACTGCTCACTGCGTCTCGTGATTTATTGTTTTCAGTTTACTGCATAACAACGGTGGGTATGTTTGTGCAGAGATCCACTTAGAAGCGTTAACAAGCCGGAACTCTTCTTCAACTCGTAGACCTCCACTGACACTCCAACCCTTTTTACTTATTCTCTCGTGGCACCTTTGTATTTTCACAGCTTGGCGTTTGTAAACAACAGATCTTTGCCACAAGGCGTCTCTCTCCCTTCAGCACGCTACACCTGCACCCTAGGCCTCCGCTCCATTCCCCTCCCTTCATTAAGCTCCGCCTCACGATACGTGCATCCTCACGCCATCATCTTCTGAGTAAAACAATATGCCCAATGAATATCCTAGACACTACTTTGTGATGTTACAGCGAAGTATAAGAGTGTGAAAAACTATAAAACCGTTCCCAATGAAAAAAATGGGCTGAAAGGGGCACTCAGGGATGTAAAATTGGTTTTAGTTCTTATGCCCTTCTGGTTACACACGGTGCACCATTTCTGAGGAATTCTTTGGGGGGGTTGGTGAAATATAAATGCAGAAGTGGCCTCGTTTTTTCTGCTGCTAGGCCCCACTGCTGGTTCCCCGATGTGGCACCCAGTGAGCAGCCCAGAAATCAGCTGAAACTGAAATGCCAAATATCTACACTTCAGTTCAACATTTGCCTTTTTGAAAAGTACAAGAGCAAGTCTTGCAGACAATAATGCAGGTCATAGTCTCAAAGCAGTCCTTCATAGACACAGAAGGTGTACATATAGCCGCTGCCTCTTTCACACAGTTTGTACAACTTTATCCCATACTAGGATCTAATGGGATAAAATGTTTGAACCCCAGTCTCCCCTTATATTTTAAGATGAAACATAGAAACATAGAATGTGACGGCAGATAAGAACCATTCGGCCCATCGAGTCTGCCCAATTATCTAAATACTCATCAATGCATATATTTTTGGGGTAGTGGGGGTAAGGGGTGCTATAAATTGTGACAAATTGTTTTTTTAAAGTGGATAATTAGGGGCATATTTTGATAGGTGATCAAACTGCATATGACCTTTTGGGGGGCACTTCAAATTGTCACTGAAGTGCATAAATCATTGTATGGCTTCATACCTGGGCCTACTCATGGTCTGGAAAAAATGTGGGTACAGCATACTGGGTTTTTGGACCAGTACATCCTAATGCTGGGCTTTTCAAAGCGGCAATGTCATGGTTGCATCCTTTTTTTATTTTTTTTTAAATCCCTCTGCCAACTCCTCTACACTTTATTGTACAACTAATCACTCCCAAATGCCTCCAGATCCCCATTTCCCCTTTTTTTGCTGCCTCAGGTCTACCCTTGAGAGTAGTATATGTAGGACAGCGAAGGGGTTAAACTTTTAGATGCAGTGATTTTTAAGACACCAAAAGGCATGAATTTGTTGACACAAGACTTTCTTGTGAGTCACATTTCTTGTACTTTATATAAAATATGTAAATGCTGTAATTGTTCTGCTCTAATAATAGCATACAAGATAAACTGTAAGTAAACTGGCTATTTTATATTTCTGATATGAAGGATATGATAGGGTGTTATATAAACACAATAGATTACAGACACAATACGGTATGTACAATATGTATATAGACATAGCAGTATGCTAATTGTTGCTATGGAATGTTGGGTTTTCAGTGAATTGCTAAAGGGGACGTTGGCATTGAATACTATATAGAATAGAGAATATTATATAGCGATTTTGATGTTGTTAGTCCTGGACATGCACATATGTGAACACTGATGCTAAATTGCAAATGTGAAAAATAAACAACATTCCAGAGGTTTCTGTGGCATTTGCTTCATTATTAAAATTTTGCTGAATATTTGCAGTTTATAAGTAACAACTCATGTTTCTAATATATGTGCAATAAATATGCATCAAGCTCAAAATAATTAAATGTTTTTGCTCCAGCCACAATAATGCTTATACTTTGTTTCTTTTAGGGGAAAAATGCAGGGATATGAAAACTATAAACTATTTCACTTACCCATGTAATTCATACCTCCCAAGTGTCCCTATTTAGGAGGGACAGTCCCTATTTTGGGCCCAAATCTCTCTGTCTCTCTTTTATAGGAGCTCCATATTGTTGGTGTGTCTGAGTATATAACAGAGCTCCACAGCAATAAACTCAATAAAAACACAATAAATATGTTAAGATACATTGTTCTTGTTCTAAATTTCATTTAAGTTGCATACATTGTTATTAGTAAGTCACCTAAAACTTCTTAGAAGAATCCAAACCAAACCTCCCGCTTACACCCCTATTATTAAAGTGTCCCTCTTCGTCCAATTAAAATGTTAGGTGGCGTAGTAATGTTTCATGGAAAAAAAATATACCGACCATGCTTGTAATGTTGGAAAGGTTGCACAAACTAGTTACAGAAATAACTTAACAAATGTCCACAGTGATCTATTTTTACACACCTGTAGTTGGTAGTTCTCTCCCATGACTGAAGATATTACATCATTCATGCCACCTTCCAATTGAGCTCTCATTTTTGGATGGCGGGTATTTACAATAAAGGCAAATGTTCTCTCTGGGAAGAAAAACAACATTTTACTAATATTAAAAAACTGTAACGTTGACTATATGACATTAAAGGATTACTCTAAGCACCATCATTACTTCAGTAGTTTGAAGTGATTATGTTGCCTGGAGTCTGTATGCACAAAATGTGTTCAAAATACAAGGAAAAAACAGAGTAAACTGCGCCAAAAGTGTATGTACAGAATGTCACGGCAAGGGTGCATAGTTGTTATTGCACTATGGAATATTGTGCTTTAATGTAATTTGTGTAGTACATAGATAATCTGCTTGCCTGGTAGAGGTGGTATTGTCAATGTCAAAAAGGGGTTAATTTAATTGTATGGAAGGTTTATAACCTTAATTCCTTTTGAAGCTGGGACCCCCACAGAGATCAGATGACAGAAGGGGTAATGTAACTTGCATAGGAATGTGGAAGCTAGGTGTGAGATTCTACACCTGAAAAGCCTGAAGGTCTGGCTTCAGGCATATGGCATGTACCTCCTAATTGATGAGCCAATAGCTTTGATATGTTAATGGAATTAGCCTTGTTCCAATATCATTGCCAAAAGAAAAAAAAACATTCATATTTACCCACAGAATAATAATTAAGCCTCATTTTTGTTATATTTGGAATGTGACCTGTGCCATCTTCTAAACAAGCCCAAACATGATTGGCATAATTTAACCTTAAGGGAAGTAATTGTGATGTTCGCCATATTGGGTCACAAGTACGGAGTTTGACATATCTATAGAATGAGGAAAAAATAACAAATTTGGAGATGCAATTATTATTTCTGTGGCAGGTACGTAAGAGAAGATAGAACTAAATGTTTCCACTTGGATTGATGTTGGTCTGGTCACTCATTATCTCTATAGATATTCCTTACCTCTCCCTCTAGACCAGGCGTGGTAATCCACAGGGTATATATCCAATGATACTGACATGTCTTGGTACTTGCTTGAGGCCAGAATCTAATTCTAAGTGAGTCACCATCTTTCCTACCAAAGACCCCCTGGGACAGACATATTTACTTTGAAGAGCTGAGTAAGTGATTAGGACTTTCTGTTATTTTATCCCTTTTGTTTTTATCTGTTGTTGGTGTAAATAATTTTGATTGTCATCTATATTTTTGTATGCACTGTGACTATTTTTTGCTCAGAATAAATATTCCTTTATTAAGTTCTGCCTTTGTCTGGTAAAGCATCACGTTACCTGAAGAGACTAATTAGTATTTTGCAATTGCTTAGATATTGTGCTAAGTTGTATTTGGTGGGGTTTTATAAAATGTCTTGGTGGTGGCAGCATTAAAATAGTAATAGTTATATTATGTTTAAGTGTGGGTAGTATTAAAGGGGCATTTTGTCATTATTTACGGTCTACTGCAGACAAATAGTGAACTCTAACCCTTTCACCACCACAACTACGTCACGCACACTCTTGAAGTAGGGTGCGTTCATGACACAGAATATTATACGTACATAGGTCTTCAAGGAGTTATACACAATTGACCTCAAAGATGAGGTAAATTGTGTATAACTCCTTGAAGATTTATGTACATATAATATTCTGTACACACACTTTGGGTGCGGTTTACTTTGTTTTTTCCTTGTATTTTATCCACTCACAAGGTCTGGGAATTCTTGAATTGTTTACTGCTGCCTGCATTTACCTTTTGTTGAATTCTATAGTGAGCACCTATTATCTCTCTGTACAACAAAATGAGTTTAACCCCTCTACTGTTGGAGGTGTCACTCTACTTCCGACAGCATCATTGGGGTGTTATCATCTAGCCTGGAACTAGAGTTTTGGGCTTGTTAGTCAATGGCTGAAAGCGGTCAGCTGATACTCCCAGTCAATGAATGGCAATGACAGTGGCTTTTACATCACTGCAGAAGCCAGAAGCGCTTCAGACCACCAGGGGGCCTCAGAGCCTGGCGGGTGCCTAGGTAAGGGGGCAAACCATTGCTAGATGGCTTGCCTTATTAACAGGGAACTGGGCCAGGGTACTCCTGACATCATAAACCTTACAGCAGGCTATGATGCTTGGAGTAACCCTTTAAGTGGATGTTTTTATTTTCTATTTTAAATTTTTTATTTTTTGTGTGCATAAGAGTATCAGACATTCTTGTAATGCCACAACAGCAATGGCAAGACAATTAACTAAACAAAGCATAACAGTTACAAGGCATTCGAGTGTACTGCACAATTTTTCAAAGTGGTATAAGGTACATGCTAGGCAGAACATGTCTAGAGTAAATATTGAGAGAAAGCTTCTACTCTATGCAAGCAAGTTCATAGACATGTAAATAGAGATATTAAAGTAGGTTTTGAAATATGCTTATGGTACTGAGATAGAATTAAAAAACTAGATTATAGAACATGCAAATAATCTGCACAATTTTTAAGAAAATGACAGGACACTAACATGAGTACTAACAATTCTCACAAAGTATGAAATAGCATGCTAATTAACTTGCATAAAACCTATGTGAGTAGTACCTCAAAGAGCTCATTGGCTGTTCTCAAGTTGTAGCTAACACAGGTAGCATGAGAGAGCGGGAGTAGGTAAGAACAAGGAGCAGGGTAAGAAAGAGAGGTCAAGCATAAAAACACTGCTAAAGGCACACTGCAGCCCCTTCATCTCATGCCCCCAGCATACAGGCAAAGTCCAGCTAGGTATAGCAGTAGTGATATAGTGCAGCCTTCCCGGATGTCAAAGTGCTTCTCAGATCTCCATCCCCAGTGGTCACATGCCACTGTTTTTACAACCAGCTGAATTGTTAGATCGCAATGGGCAATGATCTTCTCAAGCACATGGACCGCCCTTGGCCCGCTGACCCTGTTTAAGTCCCCACCTGAAAGGAAGTCTCAAAGCCGAGGTTCTGCAAGCAAGCTGCACCACTGGAGTTGACAGCAGAGTGTGCTTTCTTCGTCTGTAGTTTCCACCAGAAACTTGGACAGATTGTGTTGATTGCTTCATGAATGCCTTCTTTCTAGATATTTATTGTTGCCTCAATTACATGCTGCGAAGTGTTGCTATCGGCCATTTTAGACAGACCGCATGAGAGCTGCCTGCTCAAACTTCACAGAGGAACAACAGGATGGTGACTAAAGCCGTGCTTGGTGGGTGGGTCCGGGATAACCCCCACTGTCCCGGGGGAAGAGGGAGTACAGGGCTCTGCCCCCCATAGGAGGATCCGTGCAGCCTCGACTGGGGAGATCTACCACATCTCCCGCCAAGGTGCCACACAGGGCCGCAACCAGTCGGAGGACGCAGCTGTTCCACAACAGTATTAGTGGAACACGAAACAAACGTGGATGTAGCCCATATGGTGCCAGAGGTTTGCGTCTGTTGCGCAATGTCGATTGACAGGGTATTAAAGTCCCTTAAAGCTCATAAACATCAGGATTAATGAGGAGCTGAAGCCCACTGCGTCCTCTCAGCATGGCGGCCAGGCCCTGCCCCCTTTAAGTGGATATTTATCAGAGATAATATTTATTCTAAAAAGGACTTTAGAATTTATATTACAAACAATTGATCCCAGAAATATTTGCATAATTATTTAGAGTGGGCATGTCATACGAAATAAAGTTTTACTGATGCACTGTCTTAGTTAAACATATGGACAGGTTGTGAGATATTTTTTACCAAAGGTTTGGTTTTGATTCAGAGAATGACCTACACACACTTCCTAAATAGCTCTGGTCAAGATCCCTATTTCTGGATCTTAACGCATGGGTTGTTTTTTTTCGTGTGCATACCAACTCCTTATAGATTTTCAATAAAAATACAATCACGTTTATTCTGAAAAGCAAATTGCCAGTTATAATGTGATAGCATTTTATTAATAATACACAAACATGATTTTTACTGCATAGCAAACATGCCTTACAAAAAATGAGGACCTGTTTGTTTGCCTAGCAGGTATGCTGAATATGTATGAATATGTGCAGTTACAAACTCACAATACACTTATTGTTAAGAATTTGATGCACACAAAATACATACATGGTTTCTTCTCTTTTTTCAAACCTGTGTAACAACTTTTTGTCCCTCCAAACCATTCCCCAAATACCACGTCTTTTTATACAATGTGTTTACAAAAAAATCTTAACAAGGATTAAATGGAATGAGTATACAAGTTATGTCATACAGGTACAGACTGATATCCAATGACAACCATTCTCAAGGCAAGCTACATTAAGGGATTATGATATGTAAGGGATGAGAACGTACTAAATTGGGGCCATCAAACTGGATTTAATGAGGCGTTGGTGGGAGTAAACAAACTGAATACAATGAGCTCCTAAATCATGTTTATCCTATTGTTATGCATGGCAAAGGGAGTTTTAGTAAACTAAGCAAAGCATTAAAACCAAGGCAGATGCAATTTTTTTTGCATTAAACTAAGAAATAATTAAACATTTTACCCATGAATGTCAAGAGAGTCCAGGACAATTTTCCAGGATATTCAGAAGGCAAGAGACAAGGAGGAACATGGAAATCACAACTCAGAAACATATTCCTAAGTGATTCATTATCTCATGGGGACAACCAAATTGCTTTCCTTTAGATTTCCTATAGTTACACCACTGAAAGTATTATGGGTTATGTACACCCAGAGCCACACAGAAACCAGTAAGTGCAAAATGTTGCCCAGATCACTAGGTTACATCGCATGGGGCAAGGTCTCCGCTCCTTTTGTATTGATCTGTTTATATTGTGCAGCTCTGCAGAACATGTTATTGATGCCAATAGTAATAACAAAAATTGATTATAGAGCACAGTACAAGAACATAATTCCTTACAGCCAATCACTTGCTTTCTAATTAAAGAATTATGCTGCATTGTGTGTTTCTTACCAGAATCAGTGTTGACCTTTCGTGTGTTGATTATGAACAGCATTGGTTTTGCAAGGATTGTTTCCCGATAGTCTTTATAGTCATGGTGGCTCTCAAGCTTTACTTTCCTAAAACAAAAACAAAAAAAGACATTTAAGAAAAATACTACAAACAGAAATAAACAGCCTCAATAGGGGAACTTATCAAAGTGTTGTGTTCTGGAAAAGGGTGTATTACCTATTATTATTTATATATATATTTGTTTCATTGTTATTTTTCTCCTTTTTTGCTTCACTTTTTTTAAAGTTTATTGTTATTTGCATAACATTTTTTAAAATTCCAGTATTTCCAGTATTCACTATGGAAACCAGTGGAATTAATATGCACATGGTGCAAATGGCAACTTCCCCCTTTTTAAAATTTTGCAACACTTTTCAAAATAGGCACATTCATAAATCTCATCCAGCAATGTCCAAGATAGGGGAATAATCCTGATAAAATGCTCACTGTAAGAATAAAAGTAATTTAAAAAAAAAATCACCAATTATAATCCCAAAAAAATCAAAGTAGACTTTAGTGTATTCTAAAACATCTTACAAAGAGATTAAAATAAAAATCACAAAACTCAAAGACTAATAAAGTAAGCAATGTAATGAGCAGAAATACAGAGATATTACATCACACAATGGGGATTGTTTCTTTGTGACCTTATTTTCCTACTGTTAACCCTTCAATCCACCCAGGAATATTTAAAAGGTCCAGTTAGGAAAACACCCGCATCAATATGAAATGCCCTCCAAAATACAGAGGACATAAATGGAAACTACTATTAAAACAAAGAATAAACATAACAGATTGTATATTTTAAACAAGAAAAAACTATGTGTTTTATTTTTTTGTGTTATTTCTTGGTCCACTTTATTTATTTTTTTATTTTTATTTTTTTAAGAATGTCTCTCTGGCATATTGAATATGTTTCACTGAAAACATTAGAAACAATTCTAAGGCTGTTTGAAAAAAATAAAAAATAAAAAAATATATATATATATATATATATATTCTATCCCTAAAATAAATAGATAACTTGTGGGGGAAATTTAAATTAGGTGTTAACCTAGTGAACCAAGAGTTTGTTAACATAGATATTTTAGTATTTTAGAAGGTGATAGATAACAAAATGTCTAGTGAGGTACAAAGGAAACGTTAATAACTTTTTTTCACAAAGTTAAAGGCTGTAGTGACCTCATTCTAACAGAGACTGGTCAGTAGGAAAAACTGCACATAATCCTAAACCTGAATTTTTAAAAATTTCCTGAGTCTTAGCTAGAGTTACAGAATGTCCATATAAGTTCATCAGTGATGTCAATTGGAACTCCTGGGATAAGGCATTTAAATGTAACATGTGTTAATAAGACTGGAGATTGTTAATCTTATCAATAAATATATAGTTACACACCCATAATTTAATATATGTATTCATTTTGGGGTACATTGACAAAACACCACATTTGCCATAACAAATTTAGCCACATGAATTGGACTTAATTTGACAGATCAAATTCCTGTGAACTAGCATCAGTTATTTATTAAACTTGGATTTGTCCAGAATTTACCACGGAACATTATGGGCCAAATTAGTTAAGCTGGAGAGTTAATTTAACCAAAATTTTATTTATTTTTAATTTCTGTATTTTTTTTTTTAAATCCCTATGTCAATTCATGACAATGCCTGACATTCTGAATAACCCTCAAAACAGACTTTTGGTTGTAAAAGTGAATGCCATTCAGTCACCATTCGGCATTTAGTAATCAGACATAATAGCCTGTTTGGTTGTACAAAGATTAACAAAGATTTGTTATCTCCAGCTAGTTGAAGAAAAAACATGAAGAAAATGAGGAACAAGAATAAATAAAATATTTATTTTAGAAAAAATACTTTTTGCCTTCATTTGGATTAACACCTAGTATTTTGTTTTTTATCTATACAAGCAATAAAGATGAAAGTGAATCAACACCATATCTAGGTATCTCATGTAATTAAGTAATATGTTGAAAAATAGTACATATATACCAAACTCCACAGCTTTCCACATTCCACCTAAAATTCATGTTTTAAACCAAATATGTGGTTATATATTTACTATTTTCAATACCTAGTATCTTCTCACAGCCCATGACATAGATATGTTATTTATAGCTGCATCTAACTATAAATATCAATTGCATTCAAAGAATATTAATTATAAAAAGGGAAAAGATATATAGTAAGTCCATAGTAAAGACAAAAAGGAATTGGGAGCACACCCGGAACATGCATTTTGTCCTTCTTTTTTGTCTTTATGTAAGTTTAGAATCCAGACCAGATTCCTTTGGGGTTAAGCACCCAGCACAGCCCCGAGCTTCAGAGGCCACTTTGGAGGTGACCACAGGTATAGTTTTTGAATAGTAATGTCACTTGGATTATAACGTTCATTGAGCAGATATTTAATTTGCATGGTGAGTATATTCATCCAAGCACTATCACTTTAATTGTTTAGCTTTGACACTGTTTTTAATTATTTTTATCACATTCATTTTGCATTTTATATACTCACAATGCTCTTACAATAGATGAATTAAATACACTTTAGGTAATTTAGGACTAGCACTATTTAATTTGTCTCCCACATTTGGAATTAGTGTAGGACCCACCGATATTGGGGTACTGTGACGTATTGGTGGGCTTAATACAATATGGCCATATAGTGGAACCAAATCCCCATATTTGTTTGCTGAGATAGGCATTTTAGTAGCCTTAAGAGATTTAAAAATGCATTTTTACGTCTGCGCTGTAACTTAATCTGTATTATATAGTAAGTCCAAATTACTGAAAACATTGCACCTTTGAAACAAAAATCTGAAGAACCAATTTTTGACCTCCACAAAATGTTAAAAAGAAATAGTTTTGTTTAGGTGAAAAATGCAGCATAAGGGAAGACTCAAGGCACTATAAATACAACAGGTTATTGTGAAAGATATCTTTAAGTACATTTCCTCTTGTTTTTGTCAAAGCTTTTTTAGAGAGGTTTGACAAAAACAAGACTCACCCAGCACACAGATCCCCTTCGAAAACAAGAATGACTTCACAAAAAAACAGGAGGACAATAACTGTAGCTATAGTTATAGTGCCGATCTTGCCCCTTTGAGATATTTTCATGGTCCTTGCATATGTGATTATCAGAAGTAATAATATCCCTGCTAAAGGAATACTCCAAACACAGCTTCCTGAACTGTCTAAAATCTTTCATTTTTTGACAGTTTATAAAAGTACAGATTTTAATATTATTATTATTCATAAAGTGCCAACAAATTCTACAGCACTATACAATAGGCAGACTAACAGACAAATGTTTGTATCAAGATGCGTTGGACGAACAGAGATAGAGGGTGATGAGGGCCCTGCTCAAGCTAGCTTAGACTCTAGGGAGAGTGGGGTAAAGTGACACAAGAGGCAAGTGTAAGATGTATTTCATGTACGGGAAAAGTACATGAAGGCTTAGTTAATAAAATAGGTACTTTTATAAATCCTCAGAGAGAACAGACACGGCAAACATAGTAGGTTAGAGCGTGCATACCTTCATCATCTCTCAATGAGTTCTACTACTACAGCTGTGTGTGTGTGAGAGCCCATGGTTTAAGCACAGCGACTTCTCAATGAGAAGCCAATGATTAGGCTGGCACAGACTATTTTTATTAATAGGATTTATATAGCAACAAAAGAGTCTGCAGTGCTTTACAGTTATAAAATGGGGGTATTTGAAATAAGCTGGTTCGAGCAGTTCCCTCAACAATTTCGGTTCCTGTGCTTCCAACTTGTCTTGTTGCGAAAACTTGTCTGATAGTCCGTCTGTTGTACAGGGCTCAGGGAATTGCTGGAACTTTATAAACAATAATTTGACAAGTAATGTACATACACAATATAACAGAGACACGAGGCGAAGAAGAAGGCTCTGCTCATATGTGATTACAATCTGTGAGATTAAACGTCTGTGGGAGGGACAAAAGTGAAGACTTACAAAGGCTGCAGACACCAGATCTACAGTTTGTGCAAGCTTTTTTTTTTTTAATATATATATCCCAAAAAATTATAATATTCAGAATAAATACATGTATGCTCTTTTGGGTTATATCTATTAACCCATGAAAAAAAAAGATTTTCATTTTAATGTTCATTTAATTTGTTTCTGTAGGGATTTCCCAATCCAGGCTACATTCAACCTATGCCTGCCAAAAACTATTTTATTGCTGATTAAATCACAGACTGTATGAAATACATAACATAAGGTATTCACAGGAAAACAATATCTCAACAATCTTTGGCAGAGATTGGTTGGTATGTGACTACATAACAAGTATTGAAATTCGAGATGTAAAATAACTTGGATTGTCTTCTTATAAAAAAAAAAAAAAAATGCATTTGTGAATATAACTAAAATTGTTGAGTTGCTAAACTGCTGTAAATAAGAAGGGGTAAATAAAATAACTCAAGTATGGAAACTGCGAAGCACATGTCCCAAGTTTGGATTATTAAAAAGAGGGAAAGCTGTCATTTGAGGCATCACTGTATTCCTTTTAAGATATGTAGAACAAAATAATAGGCAGGACACTATATGTATATTTTCAGCAAAGTTGAAAAAGAATTGACAGCTTATCACCAATCGTCACTTGGAGCCCTCGTCAGTCAGGATATCCAGCAGATAAAATGTTTGTGAACCAGCAAATTATATATATATATATATATATACACACACATACATTTTAAGTGAACCAGCAGATCATATATATACATAAATAAATTGAAATGAAAGATAAAAAACACAGAGAAATAAAGTTTACATCCGCCCTACGCGTTTCGTCCAAGGGCTGGACCTCCTCATGGACAATAAGTCAAAGTCTGATGGGAGCAACACAGATTTTGACTTATTGAGTCCAGAACGTGGATGAAACGCGTAGGGCGGACGTAAACTTTATTTCTCTGTCTTTTTTATCTTTCATTTCAATTTATTTATGTATATATATGATCTACTGGTTCACTATGATTGTATCTGGGTATCCTGACTGATAAGGGCTCCAAGTAGAGATTGGTGATAAGCTGTCATTTCTTTTTCATCTTTGCGGTCATCCAGAAGCCTGTGAAGAGTGAAGACGCCTATGGTGTATGATTTTGCCTTCTATAAATTTACGTAAATGTGATACTTACAAATTATCATTAAGTTTTAAGTAACAGTGTTACACAATTTTGAGTTTTTATTTTTGTAGATTGTGGTGTTTCATATATTTTATGAAGACTAAGAGGAGTCTTTTTGTCTACAATAGAATAAGGGTAATTTAATTTTTATCCTTGTTTTTTTTTCCCCACATGTGTATCTATGGTCTTCTAGTGGGTGTGTTTTAGTGTATTTTTATTGAAGTCAAGCTGTACCTACAGTATTTTATTTATTTTTTATTTATTTATTATTGGCATTTATAAAGCGCCAACATATTACGCAGCGCTGAAGAGACAGATATATTTTTCAAATCAGCGTACATTTTGCCATGAAGGTTTGGTTCCCTGCAATTCAGAGTGTATCCCATTTGCAATCCTCCTAAAGTCCTTTCTCTGTAAAAGTGTACAACGTGCCCTTGTTTTGAAAGAGTTAACTGATTTCTTTCCGTGGTGCACTTTTATTGTAATAAATGACATAATGTAGTTTTAGCAATCTGAGTTAAAAAATTGAAGCACTTTTAACAATATATAATGACTCATACGGGCTCTAATATATTTAATTAATAGTCATCTTTTGGTATGCAAACTGCTGTGCAATGAAATCCCATTGTGCTTAGCAGACCAAACTTTGGTTAACCAAATAACTCCCTGACAGACGTATTTACTAAAGTGTGAATTGTTATTGACCCAAATGTGTTTATTTGCTAAACACAAACATATAATCACTAAACTCTGAATATTAGTGAATAGAAATCCCAGTGGCAACATTTAGGCTGAAATACCCGATCTGATAAAATTATCCTCCTCCGCCATAGTCTGACTATTTTTAATTTATTTTCCATTTGGATTTCAGTTTTCAATAGTTCATAGTTTAGTGAATATTAAATACATAGAAAGTTGCAGTGCATTGAGAACCGACTTGCAAAGTTCAGACCAAAATAAAAAAATTGGGAAAATATCTCCAAATTTTAAACTATTGCACCTTTAGTAGTCAGAATACTAAGAATGTACCCTGTATAAATGTTAAGAAGACATTTAATGTTACATACATTTTTAACCCTTTTACGTCCTTATCTTTCCATTACACAGACAATATTTTCCATATTTTTTGTAAATTAATATTTATAGAAAAGAAGTATTAATGCATCAATGGATTCTGAAAGGAAATACAAATATATTATACTGTTAAAAAAATTCCTTCACATGAAAAATACAATAATTTTTTTTTTTTTAAAATAGGTAAAACTGTGATCACAATCTGGAAACAAAACGCAATCCATAAATATTATTGACAAAAATCTACCAATGATAAGAATCCAGCAGTTTAAAGCACGTGAAGGATTAACCCTTCCACTACCATATTAGCCCTTGCATACCCAGTGACCTGCACAATGCAAGTGCGCGCATGCATCTGGCACGTGTTTTGCTTGTATCACTATTTCTTAACCTCCTCACCTCTGGATATAGTTCAATATTTTGCACGGCTGACCGTCTACACTGACTGATTCGTCACTAATTATGTTGTAGCCTCCATTTTGATTGACCGAGATCAGTGTATCGTCCTCCAGCTTCAGGTACTGGGGCTGCAACTCCAGCAGGAGTCTCAGCGGCAAGATGGCCATCTCGCAGTTGGCGGTGCTTGTGGTCTGTAGCATTTCTGAGCTTACAGAGGCCATAGAGATGTTGCTTGGCAGCCTATCCAAAGCCATTCGCCCGCCTTGATTGTTTATTCCAGCCATGATTGCACTTCAGCTCGGCTAACACAGCAAGAAACGCAGAAGAATAAACTGGCTGAGGACGGAAACAAGACTAACGAGTGTGTGTGTGCAGAGCAGAGTGCAGGCTGTATGACAGTCACTACAGGGTGGGTCTGCTAACTTGTCCTACAGGGAGGGCCTTCACAGCTGATTTTCTGCATTCCTTGCAGTCAGAAGTTAACGTGGGAGAGAGCGTTACACTCCCTGTCTGACATGGCCAGGTGCCTTTACTGTGCGAACAAAAGTTGATTATATTATTCGGGCGAGGAGGAAATATATTCTTAATCTGTTAGGCAAATGCTGTATAAAACTAAATCTGAGGGTGCACTGGAAGCAGATGAAAAGGACAGAAGTTATTTTGTAGTTTATCACACAGAGAAAATGTTCAATTGCATTTACTCGAATACAAGGAGATATATTCATAAGGTGTAGGCAACCTTTGGTACTCCAGATGTTTTTAAACTACATTTCCCATGATTGTTCTTACAGACATAATGCTGGCAAAGAATCATGGGAGATGTAGTACAGAACATTTAGAGTGCTTCGAATTATTGCAAAGTTAATGGGATACTCTATGCAGCAAAACAATTTTAGCTTAAGTAGGTTGTTTGAGTATAGATTATGCCCCTGCAGTGTTACTGCTGAATTCTCTGCCATTTAGGAGTTAAATCACTTTTGTTTACGCAGCGCTAGCCGCACTTCCCCTAGCTGTGAATCACCACATTTACGACCACAGTACTTGATTCTCCCTCTGGTAATTGAACTTTAATCACACACAGAAGCCTGCTGCAGACTCTAGCAGGTAACTGACAGACTACTTTTTTTTTTTAAAAGTGTGTAGGGAGTCACAGCTAGGGGACTTGGAGCTAGGGATACATAAAGAAAGTAAAGTAAGTTAATTCTGAAATGGCAGACAATTGAACAGTTACACTGAAGGGGCATTAGCTTTGCGCCAAACCCGCATAATTAAAGGGACACTTCACTTACCAAATAAAAATAAAGCCTGTGTAATTGATATACACCCAATGAAAACATTTAATTATGCATTTTTCATTGAGGTTATATCTAAAAATAGTTTGCAAAAGCTGTACATCTCTTGTCTGCAGCCTTTGCCAGACCTCCCCGTCTTCCCCAGCCCAGACTTTCTGTGGCTGTCCAATCACAGACTTCGCAATGCAGCTCAATGAGAAGCCTTTGCAAGACAGGTGCTCTCCACAATTTAGCTTCACGGAGCTAAACTACCAGGAAGAAAACAGTATTAGCTGTCTGACAGCCAGGGAGTATAACAAGGTTAACCCTTTAGTGACCAGAACATTTTGTAAAAAATTTTACCGTTAAGGACCAGGGCTCTTTTTCCATTTGTGTTTGTGTTTAGCTGTAATTTTCCTCGTACTGATTTAGTGTACTCATACATATTATATACAGTTTTTCTCGCCATTAAATAGTCTTTCTAAAGATACCATTATTTTGATCATATCATATATATTATTTTTTTTTATTTTTAAAAAGACACCTTTTCAAACTTTGACCCCCAAAATCTGTTTCGAATCTAAAACCACCAAAAAACATTCATGCTAAATAGTTTCTAAATTTTGTCCTGAGTTTAGAAATGCCCAATGTTAACATGCTGTTAGCTCTTTTTGTAAAGTTATAGGGCTATAAGTACAAGTAGTACCATTTTTTTTTTCAAAATTAACGAAAGTTACATTGTAACACTGATATCTGTCAGAAATCCCTGAATAACCCTTCACATGTATATATTTTTTAAAAGAAGACAACCTAAGGTATTAAACATGGGGTATTTTGACTATTTTCATGCAACCATTTTACCACCAATCTATGCCAAATAAAAATAATAATAATAATAATTGGGGATTTTTCTGACACACATAGCAATTTAAGAACACATGTACAGAGAACTTTAAGGGTTACTGCCAAAGACCACCCCAATATGTGTTCAGCAACATCTCTCGAGGACAGTGATACTCCCCATGTATAGGTGGGTCGGGTTCTCCTGAGGCTAAAAGACCTTTTTTTGGAGGGTGCACATTCCAGTTTTCCAACTTGGAATTTTCTCAGCTGGTCATCATGCACCCATGTCCTATTTGGGACATTTTTGAAGCTGGCCAATGTAATTTACCCCATCAAACCACGCTACGGTATTTGAAATGGTGGTATTTTAACACGTTCCATGCACTAATTCTACCACCAGTCTATGTCAACTTTTTGGGCAGTCATTTTGTTGTGTTATTTTTCACACACGTTGTACTTAGGCATGGATTCTCAGCTCCTGTTATGTATTACTGCCGAAGAACACCACAATATGTGTTCAGCAACATCTGCTGAGTACAGCAATACCACCCATGTACAGGTGTGTCATGTTCTCTGGGGGCTAAAAGACCTTATTTGGAGGGTGCGTGTTCCAGTTTTCCAATTTGGAATTTTCACAGCTGGTCATCATGCACCCATGTCCTATTTGGGACATTTCTGAAGCCGGCCAATATAATTCGGGATTATTCTAACTCCTAGTGACCGAATAATCTAAATTTTATTAAAGACAGGAGGCGAATATTTGCTTATCTTTCTTTACTGTAACTCCCAGCAGCAAAGAAACAGTTAACAGCAGTGTAAAAAAGTTTAACCAATCAGTAAGCATTACAGTAGTATAAACTGTCATCAGGCTCCCCCCAATTCCTCTTTCTTGATGTAGCCGAACAGTCGTAGAGTCAACCATGTAAATGTAGAAACCTTAAAACGATGAACAGGTAACGGTGTAGGTATCCGGTAGGATGAAGGTAGTGATCAACCCGTGGGTAGATTCGAGACAGAAGGCAAACGATCTTCACACTAGGAGGAAGGAGAAACATCGTGAAAGTATGGTCTCTTTGGCAAGAGAAAAAACCAAATTAAATGCAGTGAACTGATTTTCAATTTAAGCGCAAGCTGTAACTATGATAATTAACTGTGTGATATGTAGAGTAAGTGACATACCTAGAATATAATAACCAATGTACCATTGAAAAAGGGTTTAGTATATAATAGCGACCTAATGAGTATAGGCTAGAGAAAAGAGAGGATGCTAGTCATAGTAGAACTGAAGATAGTACAGGATACTTACCTAAAAGGGTGGGTAAAAAGAAATCCAGGGTGGGAAAATATTCGCCTCCTGTCTTTAATAAAATTTAGATTATTCGGTCACTAGGAGTTAGAATAATCCCGAATTTTATGGCAAGACAGGAGGCTTCATATTTGCTATTTTAACGCACAGATAGCAAAGACAGAGAAACGTGTGGAGAGTGTCTGAAATAAAAGGTACGGAAGGTGGATTCTCTAGACCAATCAGCGGAGGCTAGAATTTCCGCTAAGGAACCTCCGGCTATGAGTGCTGAGGCGGCTGCGCCTCTAACCGAGTGAGCCCCGAAAGAAGCATCAATGCCAGCCAGGGCTAGAAGCCATTTAATCCAACGTGCAATGGTAGGGCACGAGACTGGTTTGTGAGGTCGTACATAAGACACCAGGAGGGGCCCAGTAGGTGGTCTGAGAGGGGTAGTGCGGGCAATATAGTGTCGTATACACCGGGCTACGCAGAGGAGAGGTTTCTCCGAAAAGTAAGGGTAGCTCACAGTAGACGAGTTGGTCTTGGTGCGTCTAGTGATATTGAAGTGTACCCCCTCCGGTGTGAAATCGAGGGCATGAAAGTCGAAAGCCCTGATGTCGGAAACTCTTCGGAAGGAGACCAAGCAAAGGAGGAGAGCTAGTTTGGCTGATAATTGGCGTAGGGAGAGCGCCTCGTTGTCCGGCCAAGCTTCCAAGAACGTGAGCATGATGGCCACGTCCCAGAATTGATTATATTTGGGGTTCGGGGGTCTAGCGATGCGTATGCCCCGCAAAAGTCTACAGATGGAAGGATGTTTGCCTACTGAAGAACTTTCGATAGGAACGTGTGCTGCAGAAATAGCAGACCGAAACACGTTAATGGTCCGGTAGGATTTACCCTGGTCATACAGAGACGAAAGGAAATTGATAATATTAATTATAGATGTTGAAAAGGGATCAAGGTCCCTTTCCAGGCACCAGCAACTCCATAGGCGCCATGCAGAGATGTAAGAGCGTCTAGTTCCCGGGGCCCATGAGTCCCAAAGGAGTCCCTGAGCAGTTGTCGAAAGGCCTGAGACATTCCAAGATCCCCTGAAACGGTCCAAGCCACTAGTTGGAGATGATCCTGAATTGCTAATGGGTGAAAGTTGCCTGTCGGGTCTCTGAGGAGGTCGCAGGTGCTGGGTAGCAGCAGGGGAAAATCCACCGACATTTCCAGGAGGTAAGGATACCATGGTTGGGCCCGCCATAACGGGGTCACTAGTGTTATCCTGGCACGCTGAGTTCTGAGGTGCTGTAGTGTGCGTGGAATCATGGAGAAAGGAGGGAATGCATATGCCCCGGACATCGGCCACGTCTGTAGGAAGGCATCGACTGCAAGGCACGCTGGGTCTGGCAACCAGCTGTAAAAAGCGTCCGTCTGCCTGTTGAGGCGAGATGCAAAGAGGTCTAGGTTGAATGGTCCCCGGCAGGCCTGGAGACGGTGAAATATTTGTGGATTCATTTGCCAATCGCTGGAGTCCCTCCAGTGTCGGGAGAACCAATCTGCGACGAGGTTGTCTGATCCCGTAGATATTCCGCTCACAGGGAGATATTCCTGTCTAGGCAGAACTGATATAATTCTTTGGTCAGATCTGAGAGCATCTTCGATTTGGAACCTCCTAGATGGTTCACGTAACGAACCGCGGACACGTTGTCCATCTTCAGCACCACGGAGCAGTTGTAGACATCCTTGGCGAAACTGCGGATTGCGAATGAGCCTGCAATCAGTTCGAGGCAATTGATATGAAGTGCTCGTTCCGAGTGGGACCAGAGTCCTCCTGTAGAGCTTTCTGAGCAAGTTGCGCCCCATCCGAGCAGACTTGCATCCGATTCCAGGACGAAGTCTGGTTGGGATCCGAAAATGGGTCTGCCATTCCAAGCGTCCATATGTTGTAGCCACCAATGGAGTTCGAGCCGGACTTCGTCCGTGAGTGTGATCTGTTGGTCGTAGGACGTTGACTGATGTAAGTATTGGGTCTTCAGG